CATATTTAGGACCAAGTTGGGCTAGAATGAAAATGTCCAGGACTTCACTCAATGCAGTATTATATCTGACCAGAAATTGTCAGTTGAAATTAATTGTTTGACATATGTATACGTATACTGACACTTCAACACAGATTATAATTGTGGGGGAATTTTATTATTCATCAGACTTTAAAATGACTTTAAAACATGACTGGGTTAAAAATAAAATTTCCAACATCTAATTCAGGTCAGTATTTAATCTGCCCAGAATCTACAAATTGTTGGTTGAAATTAACTGAATAATACACAGTATGTATACTGTCACTTTAACACAGATTATAATTTTGGGGGATTTTAATATAAATCAGACTTTAAAATGACTTTGAAACTGATTAAAATTACCAATGAACACACAAGGGAAGGCCAGCACTTTACATGTATATAATTAGGACAACTCTTAATTTTGTAAATTAATTAACAGATATACTTCCAAAAGAAACTCAAATTCCATGAGGATGACTATGAAGACTGACAAATTACCTTGTTAAATGGTATTTGTCCCTTACCTACTGGAGTCGTTGGATTACCATTACATCATGATCAGACTAGTTTAAATCCAATTTCTAGTGTTTTAGTTTCCCATCAATTCTTAAATTAATTATCTGCAAGCAAGCATGGCTTAATTTTTCTATAGAGGTTTTGATTAGAGGCTGTGACCCCTACCATCCTCTGTACAATACCGGTGACTCCTGCTGACCTCTGACATCTGATTCAACAAAAAGGAACGGCAGCACTAGATCTTCCATATTCAGCAATCTTTTTTGTCTTCAAATGAATAATTAACCTTGTCTACATCTTAATCAGAATTTTTTTTTAAATCTCCATACTGATTGTTATCATATTTCATGCAGCAGAAAACCAAATGTGTCAAGTGAACTGGCATCTTCTTTCCTAACAATATGAAACTACTAATCAAAATAGTTGCCTGTTGAACAATACAAGGGATGGGTTTCCATCTTACAGTCATACAGCACACTTATAGAAGATAACTTTGGAGCATATCTTTTGAAATTTTAAATTGCATTTGGAAATTGACCATTTTTTCTGTAGCTCTCACAAACTGTTTTTTGTATGTATTATTTTTTCATAATTATCCAACTGTAGTTAATGCAGTACAGGCAGGGGCAGACTGACCATTTGGAAACTCGGGCACTGTCCGAGGGCCCGGGGTCAGTAGGGGGCCCCATGAGATGCCCCTGGTACCTTTTTCATAGGCTTTTTTGAGTTTGGGCAAGGACACAGGGGCCCCATGATCCCCTATCACTCAGGGGCCCCATGAGTTGTCAGTCCGCCCCTGACCATAGCCATATTAAATGGTTTATGAAGCTGAAAGTTTTAGTTGAAAACATAGAACCATAGGGTGACAACAACAAAAAAGACCAAGTGGTCCATCAAGCATGCCTCCTTTTTTATGTGTGATTTTTTTTCTTTTTTTTTTTTTATACTTTTTGGTCTGAGTATAGATCTATATTTGTCCCAGATCTTGCTATTGTTACTTGATAAGTAGATGAAATATTAAATCTTTATCCCAAGCTATTTAATAGATAAATAAATAATAAATAGCCCATCAAGTTTTTTTTTGTTTGTTTTTGCTTATTTTTGTCTAAATATATATCTATATTTGTTCCAATTTGTGCCTTCGTTACTTGATAAGGAAGTAAAATGTTAAATCTTCATCACAAGCCATTGTGAAAATAAATAAATAAATGACTACATAAAATGCATAAATAAATAATAAAATAATAAAACGCATAATAAATAATAAAGTAATTAACACATAAAAATAAATACATAATACATATTTTCTTTTTTTAAAATATATATGTCTTATAAATATATATAAATATATATATTTTCAAAAATAACAAAGAAAAAAGATTTTTATTTTTTTTTTGCAACTGATCCAGCCTTACTTCCCAAGACAATTCACAAGAGCCAGACAGAGGGTTATAATAGATTTGCTGTGCCAAATCTCTATCTCATGAGATGCCCCTGGTACCTTTTTCATAGCCTTTTTTGAGTTTGAGCAAGGAAACAGGGGCCCCATGACCCCTTATTGCCCGGGGGCCCCATGAGTTGTCAGTCCGCCCCTGAGTACAGGCAGGGGTGTCCCTAGGCAGGTGCGGGGGTGCACGCTGCACCAGGTGACACCGGACCCGCTCCACCAGGGGCGGACTGATCGGGGCCCAGGGTCACTAGAGGGCCCCATGGGAGGCTCAGTCTGTCCTTGTATGTGCCACTGCTGAAATAAGCAAGCATTGAGGGGACGGACAGTGAGGCAGGCACTTTGGACACCTTTCCTCCTCGGAGTTTCAGCAGAGGGGCCGGTCCACATTCCTGCCATGGGTGCTGAAGTCGGAGAGCTGGAGAGGCAGGCAGAGTATGCAGCAGGTCAGTGAGTAATCGCCGGACCCTAGTGAGAGCACTGCAGCTTTATGTAGTAGGTAGGGGGGAGAGAGAGAGGGGGGGGGGGTGAAAGAGGGCAGAGAGAGAGAGAGAGGGGGTGTCACCAAGTGTTTTTGCAACGGGTGACACCAACCCTAGGGATGCCACTGAGTACAGGTCTAATTATGAGCCGGTTATATGATGTTGGTATCTCAAATCAGTACTTAATGGGATATCTAGTGTCTCGTAAGAGCAGCACGATTCAGCTGCAGGTGGTTGCGGGTGCGATTCCCGCATTCGTAACCAGCCCACATAGTGTGAACCAGGGCTTATACATGCACATACTAGGGCCAGTTTAGACAGGAGCCAATTATCTACCGGCATTGTGCATATATGTATCAGCGCTTAAATATCTGTGTCCATAACGGGCGGACTGACAACTCATGGGGCCCCTGGGCAATAGGGGATCATGGGGCCCCTGTGTCCTTGCCCAAACTCAAAAAAGCCTATGAAAAAGGTACCAGGGGCATCTCATGGGGCCCTCGGGCAGTGCCCGAGTTTCCAAACGGTGAGTCTGCCCCTGGTCCATAATACAATCCCAAACCTTTAATCTTATCTACCTTCTTTGTTCAATAAAAATCCTAAACTCTCCCCAGATTGTATGCCCTTTAAAGTGATATTAAGCCCTCATGCACGTGGGACGTTTTGATAACGCTGGTAACGTTAGCTGCGTAAAGTCAGGTTAAAAACCGCATTTTGCCGCGATTAGTGGCGTTTTCCCGCCTTTGCATTTTTTAGTGGGTTTTTTTGGTGAAAAAAGGTCCAAAAACGCCGGTTTATGATGTTCTACCGCATTTTGCTACGTTTTTCAGCATTAGAGCATTTTAACAGCTAAAAAACTCCTCTAGTCCTGGGTTTTTTTCCAGCCAAACAACTTCCCAGCCAAAAAATGTTGATTACAGTCTATGTGTGTATGGACACATAGGATAACATGCTGGGGGGTTTACTGGCTGTGGAAAAAAAATTCAAAAGCCAGAAACAGCCGCTGTAAAAATATCAAGTGTGCATGAGGGCTAAAGGTTAAAAAAAGGTTAAACAAACATCTTATACTTACCTGCTCTGTGTAATGGTTTTGCACAAAACAGCCACAAACCTCCTCTTCTCAAGTCCCCCACCGGTGCTTCTTGCTCCACCTCTTCTCCTAGTGCCCCCATAGTAAGCCACTTGTGTGTGCTCTCCTTCGAGCTCCACTCTGTGTGTCCACAAGACACACAGAACAGGATTTGGCCCTGTCCCAGCTCCCTTTTCACTGGCTGTGATTGACTGCATTGGGAGCTAATGGCTCCCACTGCTGTCTATCAGCCAATGAGGAGGCAGAGACCTGGGAGAGCAGCCACTCTTGTGTTCATTGCTGGATTGTGATCAGGCTCAGGTAAGTATTAGGAGGGGCTGCAGGGGGACCTGCATACTGAAGGATTTTAACCTTCATGCATAGAATGCAACCTTTAGAACCGCTTTAATTTATGTGGGTCTAACAAAGCTTGAATGACAAACTCCAAGTATCTATGATGACTGCTTTTCACTCTGTGTTCTTCAACTTTTTCTCCAAAGTTATATAAAAAAAAAGGAAAACTTTATAGTGTGGCATGCTCAAAACCAAACAACATACAAATAATTACTATATACCAGTAATTAATGTGTCTAAAAACATGCAGAATCCACTTATCACCAAGTGCTTTCCTCATATCCACTCCCACCTGCCGATTTACTCTTACGGAAAATTATTATCCTCCAATCACATGTCATTAAATACTCCTCCTCCGCTCCTCTTTCTTTAGATCTTCACAGCCTTCAATTCTTCATAGTGTTAATATTCCAAAAGAAAAAGAAAACCAAAAACCTCTATAGTGTAATATGTAGTCTCAACAACATATATCAAATACATGCAATTGTGCTTCCGTATATTTGTGACTTATTAACCACTTCCAGTCCGGACACTTTTACCCCCTTCCTGTCCAGGGCAATTTTCAGCTTTCAGCGCTATCACACTTTGACAATTGCGTGGTCATGCAACACTGTACCCATATTAATTTTTTACCATTTTTTTGAGACAGATAAAGCTTTATTTTGGTGGTATTTATTCACCGCTGGGATTTTTATTTTTTTTTGCTATATAAATGAAAAAGTCCAAAGATTTTGAAAAAAGTGTTTTTCTTATACAATTTTGCAAATAAATAATATTTCATCATAAACCTTGGCCAAAATGTATTCCGTTATCTTTTTAGTAAAAAAAAAAAATACGCCAAATTAGTTTATAACCAAAAATTATAATTTTTAAACATTTGTTTTTTTTCATTTTTTTTTTTTTTTTTTTTTATTTATGTTTTTTTTTTTTTTTTTTACATACCGTCACCCTAGCAGTACAGTGTGACCATGGTGACACTGTACTACTTGTGGGGGGTGATGAATATTTTTTTTTTTTTTTTTTACAGTGATTGCTTTTACACCCATATAGGATGTAAAAGCAATCATTTCTCTTTCTCTCTGTCTGCATTCTTGCACTCATTGAGAAGTACTGAGTGAGCTGTGATTGGTCACAGCTTGTCACATGGTACAAGGCTGTTGTGAATAGCCTTGTACCACGTGACCTCTGTGATCATTCACAGATTTCACACGTAGTAAGCAATGATGTCACAAGTGACATCTTGCTTACTACTTTGCATGTGATCACTGATTGTACGAGGTCCCGATCATGTGATCACTGATTGGCCAGAGGTCCCGTCCGACGATCGGTGTTTCACTGTGTCCGGAGGACACAGCGGGCACCGGATCGAGGTGCTGCGCACTCCCAGGGAGCGCGCACAACTAGAAATAGCGGATGCCGTTTATGAACGGCAACCCGCCCCTGGAGTGCCACCGCCCTGCCGTTTAAAAACAGCAGGCGGACGGTAAGTGGTTAAAGTGCAAACTTTCCACTTATCACCATGTGCCTTTATCACCATGTGTCTTGTCTCACATACCAGATCAGTTTCCCTTACGTTCCAGGGCCAAATGCCAAATGTTTATTTATTTATGTATTTATTACAGGTACTGATATAACTCTTTACATATACTAATCACAATGTACAAGGCCATCCACAACATCACCCCCAGCAACATCACCAACCTCATCTGCAGATATCACCCAAACCATCCTTTCTGCTTCTCCCAAGACCTCCTGCTTTCTAGTTCCCTTGTTATCTCCTCTCAATCTCGCCTCCAGGACTACTCCAGAGCCTCTCCCATCCTCTGGAACTCCCTGCCCCAGTATGTCTGGTTAGCTCCTACCCTGTCCACCTTTAGGCGATCCTTGAAAACTCGCTTATTCGGGGGAGGCCTACCCCATGTCCACCTAAAAACTGTACTTGAGTCACCTCCATCAAATCATCCCCTGCAGCCATGTACCACCTCCCTTTAGATTGTAAGCTCCATGAACAAGGCCCTCCTATTCCTTCTGTATTGAACTTTATTGTAATTGTACTGTCCCTCTTCATATTGTAAAGCGCTCCGTAAAATGTTGGCGCTATATAAATCCTGTATAGTAATAATATTAATAACAATCTCTGCCCTCAAAGAGCTTACAATCTAAGGTTCCTTACTAACATTCATACATATACATACTAGGGTCAATTTAGACCGGAGCCTATTAACCTACCAGCATGTCCTTAGTGTGTGGGAGGAAATCGGGGTACTTGGAGGAAACCCATACAATCTCACAGGGAGAACATGCAAACTCCAGGCATGTTATAAAATCTTCCATGTACTCCAGATTTCTTCAGGCCAGGCACTCTCTCCAAAATAAATCAGAGCGTTCACAAAGAAAAAATACATAAAAGAACAACCACAGAGCAGGAAATTCATAAAACAGCCATTTATTACATAGAAAAATACTCATGTAAACAGAGAAGCATAATTACCAGATTTTAAGATGGCAGAATAGGTATATCTGGTTCTGGTGTGCGTCTCACATCATACTGACGCATTTCATCATACAACTTTATCAAAGAATCCTTAAAGCCTCTGAATTTATCATTGTGGAATGTAATGGAATCACCAGTGATGAGTGGACCAGGCAAAACTCGGTTTGCAGTAGGTCATGTGAGTTCTAAAACTTCTTAAAAATGTTAAGATTTGAAGATATTGCAGTCTACAGTAGCTGAATCTTGTTATTTTTCCAAAGCCAATTTCAAAACTTTTGTTTAAAATAAGGGTATGGTTGCTTCATTGCCCCAAACCGGGCCTCTTGGCTCACCAGCAGAAGTTGGCTTCCTATCTGTTTTTATCCGCCACTAGAACAATTGCTCAGACCTGGAAGAGTCCGTTTGTCCCTCTTCAGGGGGTGCAGGATCGTATGACCACTATGATGCTCAACGAACAGATGTCGAGTATCCGCAACGACTCCCAACGTAAATTTTTGAAAATATGGGAGCCGTGGTTGCAATATGCCTTTCCCTCACTCCCCCCCGGCTAGTCTGGGGATGTAATGGTGTTCGGTATTGGCGCTCTTGGACCCCTGCTCTCTGCCCCCCCCCCCCCCCTTTTTTTTTTTCCCCTCTTTCTTCCTTTTTCTCTCTCTCTCTGTTTTTGGTGTGACTGGACAGCTGCATTTAGTTGTTATAGTCAGTTACATTAATGTTTTGTACCTTATGTGCCATTGATAGCCCCTGCGTAGGCGTAACTTTTGCCCTGTTGGCGTTAGAGCACTGTTTTTCCCCCTTTCTTTTATTTTGCATTTTTTTTTTTTTTATCTGTGCAATTGATAGCCCCTGCGTGGGCGTGTTTTATTGTCTCTGTTTTATACTGTTTAAAAAATTAATAAAAATCATTGAAATATAAAATAAGGGTATGGGCAGCTGGGCCCTACCATAAAGGATATGTCCAAATGCAAAAAAAACGCTGTGGATATAGATCCACATCCATCACAATGAGCAATGTCTGACAATGTAGACCCACCGCTATGGTGAGGCTGCCCCGCCATTACTCTCGTTGTAAATCACAGCACATCCATGCTGTTGGAAAGCAAGCAGAACCCTGGAAAACCTAAATGACATAATTGACCAAATATGGTCAATGATCATGACCATATTTGGTCACGACTATACTTGGTCAATGAAGCTACCCAAGGATCCCCACCAGCTACTTTGCAATTTCAAACAGAAGCCAGTGGAGAGTCAGTATTGATAAATGATGGACATAGCTAAAGGTCCAAGCAGGGTGGACTGGTCAAATACGACCACTTTGTTCAACTGATCACTGACTGAGAACAAGAAGGGCATTCCTTAAACCCAAAGATCTTTCCTAATATTTACTAAACAAGCATTATAGCATCACAGTGACAGAGGTGACAATATAACGGCTGATTTAAGCTTTCGGCTTACAGTTGATAATTGCGAATAAACTGACTCTTGATTGATTGTTTAAATGTTTCTTTTAGCCTAAAAGCCAAGAACCTGTCCCCTTTACCGATTCTAAATGTAGGTAGGGCAGCACAATGTGATGTTCTGTGCACTGACCCCTATGATAACCGAAAATGCCAGCTCTGTGCCTGTAGCCCAAATGTTTTTGCAGTACACAAGGAGGTTTCTCTGATGCTAATTATAAATTTAATTTGCATTTTAATTGGAATGGTAGCAAACTAAAAGCAAGGCAGCTGGAGAATTTTGAACGCTTTGCAGTGATTTCTTGCTTGTATCTCCCAGTGTCCTTTGCTGTCCTCCAGCTCACTTCCATTTCCATGCCTGTTGTTTTACATTTTCTCTTTTGCTCCAGTCAAACAACATTACTACGTTTAAAGAACATTAAGCAAAAAATAAACGTGTGGGAGAGGTGCAGCTCCACTCAATCTCTGCCAGTAGCTGCCATTTTCATTGGTTAGGAAAATTGTAGACATCCCTTCCTTTCTTTATTTTATTTTGATCTCTTTCCGTGTTTGTGTGTGTACATTAATGTGATGTCACTTTTAAAATGACCTTAAAGGTCCCTACGAGTGAAGAGCTAATATACTCACCTCTCAGGCAACCTGCGTCTCCTACCTCCCCTCTGTTCCAGCTCTACAGCCTCCATTAGTCTCTTCAATGTTTGACACTTCCAGAATGCCATGGTTTCATCCTTCAGTCCCTACATCACTACAAGACTCATTATTTACCTAAACCAACATGACAAGGCTAGGGATAAACTTCACCCATGTATAGGAAAATTAAAAGTCAGCAGCTTCTCGGAGTTCCTTTTCCTCTACACTGTCATCTTGATTTCTGAATTCGGCTATCACTTCCTGGTGACTCACAACCAGGGGCGGAATGACAACTCATGGGGCCCCCGGGCAATAAGGGATCATGGGGCCCCTGTGTCCTTGCCCAAACTCAAAAAAGCCTATGAAAAAGGTACCAGGGGCATCTCATGGGGCCCCCTACTGACCCCGGGCCCTTGGCAATATCCAACTATGTATGAAATGCATTAATATGGATTTATTACAAATCAGCTTGTTAGCAGTTTATCCTCTTTTTGTATGCAATGAGAAGTTTATTCATTTATTAAAAATGAATGCTGGAAACTAGTTATTCGTTGGTTGTGTGTGCTGTGCCTCATTTAAAGTCCCAGGACAAATAAATTGGTTGTAAAGATGAGAAACTGTACCCCCCCCCCCCTTTTTAGGAGGCAAAAGGGACAGTGCCAATAGCAGCATGCTCTGCTTGCTGCGTCAACGGGTATGTGTTGTTTGTAGCATGCAGCAATAGTTTCAATAGCTTTGGTACACTGCAGCGAACGGAAGAGTTTCAAATCAATACACAAATGTGGGGATAACAGTGGCAAAGGAAAAAAAATGTCCCTACCTCAGTGGTATCCCTGAAAAGAAAAAATGTCCTTATGTTAGTGGTGTCATTGGAAGGACTTGAAATTTTGTTCTGGGAAAAGGATGAGAACCGCATGGAGAAAAGTAGTACCGGATAAAAGTTAGTACAAGATTGTTAGATTAAGCTTCCATAATTAAGCTCATCCTCAGTTATTACATACGCATCAATCCAGGCCGACCGTATTTTGTAACATTTTGGTGGAAATTTCTACTCTCCTAGGTGATTTTAGACAGAGTTTGAAATATCTATGAGACTCTATATCATCCATACAACCCAGAATACATACGTACATCGCCTACAATGGCTGCAGAGCCTGTGCAATGACGTTACCCATAGATTTACAATGAGTCATCTGTTTTCGGATGTCCCTCCTCTACACTGAAGCTGGAGCTGGAGAGATCATGTGACCATATCAGAGCGACTTCAGAATAGGTAAGTATAGGCATCTTTCCTTTTAGAGGGTAAATAGAATAGGCTTAGAATGGGGGTGGAAGTAGATTTAAGCTTAGTTAGGGATATAACAGAGCAGGGATACACTTGACATCATTGACCTAATATGGCCGTTTGGCCATATTAGGCCAATGAGATGGCCTTGCTAGTTTTTGTACACTTTTCTGACACTCATATTTGTTCTTGACCGGCAATTAAAAAATTCTAACACCACACAGCCAGGTAACTTGCATTTAAAGTGGAAGGCAAGTCAAAACTTAACCAAGCTTAAATCTACTCCCACCCCCATTGTAAGTCTATCTATCTACCCTGTAAAAGATGCCTATACCTACCACTGTACCTATTCTGAAGTTGCTCTGGTCCGGTCACATGATCTCTCCAGCCCTGGCTTCAATTTAAAGGAGAGATCGCCTACAATGGCTGCAGAGCCTGTGCAATGACATTACCCACAGATTTACAATGAGGCATCTGTTTTCAGATGTCCCTCCTCTACAGTGAAGATGGAGGTGGAGAGA